CGCCCACTGCTCCAACGGCGGCCGCTCAGACGACTGTCCCGCGCACAGCAACCGACACTGCCACCACCTCCCCCGACTCCAGGGATGAGGAGCAGGACTACACCTGCCCTCACTGCGACCGTACCTTCACCTCACACATCGGCCTGGTCGGTCACTTGCGAATCCATCGCACAGAGACCGGAGAACCAGTGCCTGGAGCACCAACCTACACCCACCAAGCTCGTCTCAACTGCCCACACTGTCCTCGCACTTTCAGGCATCGCATGGGCCTATTCGGCCACATGCGCATCCACGACGACCTGCGGTAGACAACCGCCGGCCACACCACACATTCCCTCACTCCCTACCTCCGCCTCCACCACCACCATCACCCCACCAGAAATCAACACTCACACACCTCATGCACCCAACTGCCACCTCCCACGCAAGTAGGAAGTCCACATCTCGACTCGGTCCCCATGCGGCTTTGGCTGCACGGGTGACTTGAGTCCGAGACTGGTCATTCGACCATGACAGCCACCGCGCCCATTCCCCACTCCAGTCTGCTGACCGGCTCGGACAGCGGCTGGGGTGTGGGAGTGGGAAGGGAGAGTGAGGTCGACGACTCAGCGCACTTCCTCGTCACTATAAACAATCTGACGCGATTGAAGCTATCACCGTGCGCTAAAAGCCGTGGCTTGGAAGGTTGCCAACTGACGGGGTAACTTGGACCTCCTCCTTCACTGGAGGCGGTCTGAGAGTCAGGCTGCAATGACTCCTTTCTAATGTGGCCTTTATGGCACTCCCATCACAGTGTGGGATCCAAGCCAGGCGTTGGCGGCACGTCCAGGTGCGGCTTCGGTCGTGCCAGCCTCCAAATCTCTGTTGTGTTGGTTGAAATCCTGGTTATTTGTTGTGTGGACCAGGGGGTGTGGTGGAACGCCAAGGTGAGGATCCGTCCGAGCCATCCACCTGCGGCCTCTCTCGTCTCCGGTCTTCTTGACTCTGTCTTGACACCGGGCTCGGGCGAGGGAGGAGGAGAGAGTGTAGGTAGATGCTACGCAAGTCTACCGGCACTATAAACCCCTGCGTAAGTCACCGTCCCTGCTCCCATTGCTGCTGCAGCTGTGGGGCACACGGTGGACATCATCGAAACCGATGGTCGAACTGTCAGGTGTGTCAAGACTGCAGTCATTTCCGGTCTCATGGATGCATATGTGACCGAATGGACCCATGTGACGAGCGAATGTGCGAGAGCATTGTGGATAGTGGGGGCGAATGAGGTGAGTGTAGGTTGGTGCTCCTGGCACTGGCTCGCCAGTCTCTGGCCGATGGATTCGCAAGTGGCAGACCAGGCCGATATTTGATGTGATGGTGCGGCCGCAATGAGAACAGGTATGGCTCGAGTCCA